GATATCGAATTTACTTATGTACATATTTTGCAACGTTTCGGATCATGCTAGATCCGTCTTCAGGAAGAGACATAATAAATGAAAACATGACGGAAAACGCTTCAAGATATGTAGTATCATAGATTCGAGAGGAAGACGTCTTCCCTTAAAGTATTTCGCGAATTTAGAACTGAATTCCCAAATAAAAACACCAGTCCGTTGGTCAGTTAATATTGATGACCGATGATTGCTTCGACTCACGGAGGCAGACAAATCAGACCGTGTCTGGAACGTCCACGATCCTGTGCCAGCGTTTCACCTTTTGCTGAAGATGGCCCGAGTCTGGAGCAGCCTATGTTCAATCACTTGTCCGAAGTCATTCTTGACTGTCCTCATTGTTTCCGGGTCTGTCGGTTGTAAAATTGGTAGTAGTTATTTAATCTTTACTGAAACATTCACATAACGTCCCAAAACCATCGCTGCAGTAACTTCGCAAGAATCAGCAGCTGTACACATAAAGGATGTATCAGATAGCTGTACTACCGACCATGTACAAAACTTGAACCCAGCGATTCGTCTAAGAAAGCCGATCTCGGTCGCTTGAACCATCCATGGCCCACGACCCATAATCGTAATTTGAGCATCAGAATGAACATCGAATTTAAAACAGGCAGTTTAGCCTTCAGACTCAGCTCTGCCTTAGTCACAACGGTTCAGACTAATTCAAACAGAATGAGGCTAGCCATTGCCCTTTGCCGGTCAGTCTCTAGGCGGCATGCCAGCCTGTTCGAAACCATTCGGCGGTGGCCCCGCTCTAAAAGAGCTTCTACTCAGTTTCTACGTCAGATGTCAACACTGAGATCTATAGTGCGATTTTCCTTTGCCCTCGTATCCTAGGAACATAATGCTTTTCACTTGATCCTCTTTTCGCTTCTGCCATCAAGTCTTTGAGTGACAGACCACTGCTTGAAACGGCTAGAGTGGTACAACAAGGTGATGATCGGTTGGCAGCTCTGCCCCTCTTTTAAGGTGAACATCCATTACCGAGCCAGTCAGACATTACGATTATTAAATCGATCGTCGATTTCTGTGTACAAACTTCCCTATACCATACATATTGATGCACGCTTCAATGTTCGAGGAAAGTGCTCATAACAGACAGTCCGTGGACTGCACAAAACCGCAACAACTTCATGATGTTAATCCGTACTTCGTACGGAACATCTTTTACTTCCTCCATAACAGACTCATATTCCCTTTCTAAATTAGGCACAGAGACCTATAAAAAGGTCAAAACTTTAGCCTGTTGTAGCCTCGTTGCAAAATTGCCATTCTTTCCTTGACAGTCAATGACTGTCAGCCAGGTTGAGTACTACCAGAACACCAATAACGGCCTGAGCGTGCGTCGTGATATGGACACATGAGTAGAACTGCTTCCCCTCGCAGAGATTCGGAATTTCAGAGCCTTGGCGGTTCGCTAACGAGAGTCCAGCTACGTCGAGTTAGTACGTTATCGCCTCATCAACTAACTCCTGCTGTTTCCC